GTGAGAGGGCACAGGCCGGGCTGGGGGGCCCCCCCTCCCCCCCGAGTGCACAAATTTTTGTGCACCGGGCCTCTAGTAAGAATTATAAGTTTAAGTCTTTCTAGCCTAATGGTGCTCCTGCACCTCCACAGTGATGGCAGCATTAAATGGCTGTGGAGAACAGTAGCTCTACCGACTCAGTGTGGCAGAGAACAGAGTTTAGGGATGGGAGCCACTGGAAATTCAAGGGTAGAACCCTTAAAGTAAGAGAATTGTGAAAGTGGTAAGACCCAAAATCTGATTAACAACTGTACAAATACTTGACAGACTGCTAAAATATGCATGGGCCAGAAATACTCCCGGGGACAAAAAGGAAGGATGAGACATTTGAAAGACAAAGGGTTCATCAGGTGAGCTCTGTGAGTTTGATGGTTTTTTAAAGAGAATATTATCCAACTATGTGGAATTTAGGCAGCAGAAATCTGAAAACTTCTTTCAGAAATCATAATATAGAGCCTGAGACTGGAACTGCAACTGGAAATTAAAGAGGCATCTTCAGAAACAAGGAAACTGCAGATATATTATACAATGAAATCTAAGTGCAAAGTCTGCCTAAATCATCGGCTGAATGCCACATTATACCAGGGAATCATGCTAAAATTGATCAGTTGGAAGCCATATGAACTGAGCCAAGATAGCTGCTGCACATTGCAGGGAAATAAAGTTTATAGTTTATGCCCAGGCCAACTTCCTACTAAGAAAACAAAAACAACCTGCAGAAGCACGCAGCTGAATAGTCATTATATCATCTTTTGCTGTAATGTCCAACTGATTAACAAAAATTACTAGACATTCGGAGAAACAAGGAGTATGAACCATATTCAGGAAAATAGGTAGTTCAGGAAAACTGACTCTGAAAAGTTTAAGATATTGCATTTAACACATAAAGCCTTCTCAGTAGTTTTTATGAATATGTTAAGAGAATTAAAGAAAATTTTGCTCAAATAATTTAAAGAAAATTATCTTAATGAGTGAGCAGCTAAGGAATCTCAACAAATATAATTAATATTTATAGGGTACTATATTTAACAACTAATTATAAACACTCTTTTCAAGTGTACTTGAAATACTTATCAAGACAGAATATATTCCGAGCCATGCAGTATCATCACATTTATTTTATTTTGAGAATTAAATTAGAAATCAAGAATAATAAGGTATCTTGAAAAACACCCAAATATTTGGAAATGATTATATCATTTCTAAATGGTCCATGGCTCAAAGAAATCACAAAGGCAATTAGAATATATTTTTATTTCATTATTATTATTTTTAAATCCTCACCTGAGGTTATTTTTTTCCATTGATTTTTCAGACATATTGGAATGGAGAGAGGAAAGGAGAGAAAGAGAGATCAATGTGAGAGAGACATATTGATTGGTTGCCTCCTGCACGTGCTCTGACGGGAGCTGGGGAACCTGCAGCCGAGGTATGTGCCCTTAACTGGGAATTGAACCTGTGACCCTAGAGTGTGCGAACTCATGCTCTAACCACTGAACAACCAACCAGGTCTAGAATATATTTTTAAAAGTGTGCAGATGAAAACATGAAAATATATGAGAATCAGCTACAACAGTGTTTTGAGAAAAATGTATATCTTTAAATATTTATATTAGAGGGAAAGAATAATAAATTATTTGGAATGTAACTCTAGGGAACTAAAATATAACTCTAAATTAAAACCAAAATAAATGGAAGGAACAAATGATAAAGATAAAAGCAGAAATTGATGAGGTAGAAACTAGAGAATGAAAATAAAAGCTGATGCTTTCCAAAAAAAGCAATATACTTGACTTGGTATACCTCTTATGAAGGTACTCATGAAGGAAAAATGAGAGAAAAAACTAATTACTATTCTCAGGAATGGAAGGGGGCATATTACCACACACCCTATAAATGTAAAATTATGGAATATTAAAAACTTTATATAAATTAATTTGACAATTTAGATAAAACTGACAAGTTTCTTAAGACACAAATTATCACAACTGACAAGATAAAATTTGAATTGTTTATATTTAGTTAATAAATTAAATTTGTAATTAAACTATTTTTCACAGAGAAACTCCAAATCTATGTCTCTTCACTACTGATTTTATCAAACATATAAGGAAAAAATAATGCCAATTATACATGAATCTTCTCATGCTTCTTGAATAATGTAGGTTAAAAGGAGCCATTTCAAAATAGCCAGAATATTCTATTTTTCTTAAGAAGGTTTGCCCTTACAAAGTGGATTTAAAAAAATCAAAGGACAGCCCATATTTGATTAAAAGAAACAGTATTTAAAAAAGCTAACAAAATAATATTTAAAGTTGGAATACATGAGTCAATGTAAAATAACTTTTAAAAAATATAGCACTGTAGCCTATGGTCAAGTTGTTCATATGGAGTTTCCTCAAAAAACTAAAAATTAAACTCCCATTTGACCCAGTGATCCCACTTCTGGGAATATATCCCAAGAAACTAACTAGAAACACCAACCCGAAAGGATATATGCACCCCTATGTTCATAGCAGCACAATTTACAATAGCTAAGATCTGGAAACAGCCTAAGTGCCGAGCAGATGAGTGGATTAGAAAACAGTGGTACATCTACACAATGGAATCCTATGCTGCTGTAAAAAAGAAGGAATTCTTCCCATTTGCAACAGCATGGATAGACCTGGAGAGCATTATGCTAAGTGAAATAAGTCAGGTAGAGAAACATAAATATCACATGATCTCACTCATTTGTGGAATATAATGAACAACATAAACTGATGAACAAAAACAGATCCAGAGACAGAGAAGCATCAATCAGACCGTCAAACCTCAGAGGGAAGGTAGGGGAGGGGGGGGTTAATGGGTAGAGATCAACCAAAGGACTTATATGCATGCATATAAGCCTAACCAATGGACACAGACAACAGGGGGGTGAGGGCATGACGGGGGGGTGGAGGAGCCAAGGGGGAATAAGGACACATATATAATGCCCTAATCAATAAAGAAAATAATAAAAAAAAAGAAATGAAACAAAGCTGTAGCACAAAAAAAAGAAAAAGAAAAATACTAATAACAAAAAAGGCAACACTAGGAGAGAAACATCTGATATTGGTAGACTACATAATTTAAAACAAACTTGATACTGAAGACTAGAAAAGCTGACTGAAGCCACTGAATTTTATAAAATACTAGAGGCCCGGTGCACAAAATCCATGCATGGGGTGGGGAAGTCCCCTCAGCCCAGCCTGCACCCTCTCCAATCCAGGACCACTTGGGGGAGGTCTGACTGCTGGTTTAGGCCCAGTCCTGGGGATTGCGCCTAAACTGGCAGTCAGACATCCCTCTCACAATCCTTACTGCTTGCTCCTAATCGCTCACCTGCCTGTCTGCCTGGTTGTCCCTAACTTCCCCCCACTACTGGCCTGATTGCCCCTCACTACCTCTGTGTGCCAGCCTGATTGCTCCTAACTGCCCCCCCCTGCTGGCCTGGTCACCCCTAACTGCCCCCCACTGCTGGCCTGGTCACCCCTACCTGCCCCCAACTGCTGGCCAGGTTGCCCCCACCTGTGCCCCCCTACCCCCCTGCCAGCCTGGTCATCCCTCGCAGCCTGCTGTTCAGTCATTTGGTTGTCCTTCACTAACCCCCCTACCGGCCTGGTCATAGGCAGCCATCTTGTGAGGGTGTGAGTGTTAATTTGCGTATCACCTCTTTATTATATAGAATAAGTAACTATAGGGCCAGCATCTCAGTGACATCAGAGGTCTAAATAGATGAATCTGGCTTCTGGGACCACCTGTTTTTTAGGGTGGGTTTGGGGATTTTGCCATTTCAGAGAGAAAAATGTTGCTTCTGACAGCTTCACATCAGAGAAGTTCTCTATGTGAACAGATCTGGCTAGTACAAGTTATTATCAAAGCAAGAATATAAGAAAATTTTTGAAGAGAATGGTAGTTAACAAGGCATCTAATAATTATTTCCTCTAAGGTGTTGGCTCCACAGTATGTTAATGTTGTTCAGATTACATGGAGCGTAGTGAAACAATGCATTTCTTTTACGAACTAGTGAATGAGATGTTGATTCCTATAAATTTCATTAAAGAATGGGATTACTAAAACTGTGAGTGAAGAAAAGCCTCCTACTTTGTAAAGAAATCCTGAGTTGCAGTTTTATTTGATGGTACCTAATTACACATGATTGAGTAATAGCATTTATTTACAGGAATGTACACATAAAAAATGTTGTGATGCTACATTATGTCGATTCAAAGGTAGGATAGTCTGTGGTTCCGGGGAATGCTGCACACAAGACTGCAAGGTAAGAGGCAATATGTATTTTATAATAGCTCAGCATTAATTTCTTGAAATTCTTGTTTAAAGAAGATGGAAAATATATTTCACCCTTCTCATTTTATTATATCCATGTAACATTGGACCCACTCTCCCACTTCAGTCTTTTCAGCAATCTATCATTTACAGGACTCTCATGTACATAATACCTGATGCTCCTTCTCTACTAACTTGACTTCCCATTTTTATACCTCATTACAAATCTTTCTTGTACCCATAGAGATTTCTCAATGATGAACATACATCACCCCCACCTATGGGGTCAGAAAGTTCGATTAGTTCCTTTTGTTAGCTAAATTCTCTTCACTGTCTTCTGGTGAAGTCCTCTGTTCCTTTGCAATTCATTCAGTTATTGTTGTAATCATTCAATCCCTCTTTTTTATTGAAAGCATTTAAAGAATTCCTGAGCAGTTGCCCCATGGTGGTTCAATTCACTGGAATCTTAAGGAAAAAGGAAACAAACTCCTAAACAAGGTGTAAACATCTGTAAGATTAGAGAAAGAGTATTTAAAAGATTATTTTTATCTTTTAAAAATAATTTTCCCCAGCTTTACTGAGATATAAATGACACATACATAGTATAAATTTAAGGTTTACAGCATAATTATTTGGTAGAACTATATATTGCAAAATATTTACCATGTAAGATTAGTTGACACATCTATCACTTCATATAGTGAGAATATTTAAGAGTTACTATTTTAGCAACTTTCAAATATATAATACGTTATTGTTAATTATAGTCACCATGCTGTCCGTTAAATCCCCAGACTTAGGCATTTTATAGTTGAAAATTTGACCTCTTGACCAATATCTTCCCATTTCCCCCACCTTGTAGCATCTGGCAACTACTATTCTATTTTCTGTTTTGGTGAATATATATTTCTTGTTTGACTTATTTCATTTAGAATGATACCCTCAAGTTTAATCTGGCAGAGTTTTCTTCTTTTTCTATGGTCGAATATTATTCCATTGTGTATATACACTATATTTAAAATATACATTCATCCATTGATGAACACTTACGTTATTTCCATGTCTGTTGTGTATAATGCTGCAATGAACATGAAGGTACATATATCTCTTCAAGATACTAATTTTATATTCTTCAGATGCATAGTCCTAAATTGGATTCCTTTTATCTTAAAATTTTTGAGGTTTCTTTTATCGTATGCATATTGCAACAATATTAGTTCTTCTTATCCGTGAACACAGAATATCTTTTCATTTACTTGTGTCTCTTTCAAATTTTTTCATCAGTGTTTTCTGTGGACAAGACTTTTACCTCCTTTGTTAAATTTATTACTAAGTATTTTGTTCTTTTTGGTACTATTGTAAATGGGCTTTAAAAAATTTCTTCTACATACATTTTGTTGTAAATGTATAGAAATAAAATATTTTTGTACTCTGATTCCATAACCTATGGCTTTACTGACTTTATTTCTCAGTTCTGTTGTTTGATGTCTTCTTTAGGTTTTTCTGTGTATAAGATCATGTTATCTGCAAACAGACACAATTTTCTTCTTCCTTTATGATTTGGGTTCCTTTTATTTGCTCCCCCCTCCCTTTAGTGCTCTAGCTAGAGCTCCCAGTACTTTGTTGAATAGGAATGGAGAAAGAGGAAGCCTTTGTCTTGTTCATGATCTGAAAAGGACACCCTTTAACCTTTTCCCTATTGAATATGATGTGAGCCATGTTAGGTTAGGTGGCTCAGGAGGCGGCGAAGGAAATAAAGAGAGTTGATCAGAAAAGGAAGGAAGGAAGGAAAGTTTATTCTGCATCCCCAGGAGACCCAGGTACCCCCAAGGACAGGGCACGTGGACTCACGCCAACAGGGAGGGGGGCGCTTTTTTTATACTGCGGTTGGGTGAGGGGCGGGGACATGAGCTGTGGTATTCAGCTGAGGAAGTTTCAGCTGCAGGGGGTCAGCAAGGTATTCAGGAAGGAGTCAGTATCTGTGTGGGGGTCGTGGAGAAGCTAGTATCTGTGTCTGGCATGCTGATCTGTTAGAAATTCCAGGGGAAGTACATTGTCTCATCACATGCCTGCATGTATCCGATCCTGGGCTCTCTCCAACCTAAAGTCAGTATCGTGGGGGTCGTGGAGAAGCTAGTATCTGTGTCTGGCATGCTGATCTGTTAGAAATTCCAGGGGAAGTACATTGTCTCATCACATGCCTGCATGTATCCGATCCTGGGCTCTCTCCGACCTAACAAGCCAAGGCTTGTCATTATGTGGTCTTTATTATGCTGAGAAATGTTTTTTTCCTATACCCAAATTGTTGAGAGCTTTTATCATAAAAGGGTGTTGAATTTTGTCAAGTGTTTGTTTGTTTTTGCATCTCTCCAGAGGATAATATAATTATTACCCTTAATTCTATTAATGGGGTGTATCATTGAAATTCGGAAATTAAACTGAAACATGTGGTTTTCCTCTGAGTAGGATGCAAAGGTGGCTTCCTTCCCGGGTTCTTGTCCAGGTGGATTTGAAGAATGAAGCCACAGACAAAAGGTGGTATAGGAAAAGGTGGAAATTTATTGGGAAATAAATACAGACTCCCAGGTGGGGAGGGGGAGAGACCCTCTTTCTAAGGTTTATAATGGTTGCAGTTCTGTGTGTCCTGATATCCCATCTGATTGGTCACTATAGCAGCTTCAAGACTCAAACATCATGTGGGGTCCCTCTTTTTTTCTCCCCCTCTTGTGATAGAATTCTCTATTCCCTATTAAAATCTGTTTTCCTCTTTCTCCCTTTTGTTTTTCTACTCCCTGTGGCTTTCCCCTTATCTTCTGTGAATGAGTGTCTTCCTCTCCCCTTATTCTGTGAAGGTATGCCTTTTGGCAGCTCCCAGTCCCCCAGCTTTGCAGCCCTTCCCCATGAGCCCCCTTTATTTCTAGACTTCCCTAAATCTGCCTATTTTACCCCTAAAAACTCCTTTTGAAAGGGCGAGGGCTAGGCCCTCAATCTTGCCCCAGGGTAAGGGCTACACCCTCCATCTTACCTTGGCCACGTGCTTGGCAAGGAGCTTCTTCCCGGAAGTCTAAGCCTCTGCTAGCCACACCCAGGAACAAGACACCGACTTGCTCCTGGCCAATCGGCAGAGCACAGTCCTTTCTCCTCCCCTTACTCCAACCCCCACCTATAAAACCCGTCTCCACACAGAGTTATCTCTCTCTGCTTCCTGTCGCTGCGTCGGCAAGGTGGGGGAGCCGAGCTAGCTCGAATAAAGACTCTTATGCTTTTGCATCGGACTGGCTGGCTCCCTGATGTGGTTTCTTGGGGATCCTGAAATCTGGGCATAACACTTTCATCATGTTTCCTAATTTCCATGTGTTGCATCATCCATGCATCCTAGGGATAAGTCCCACTTGATCATGGTTTATGAGCTTTTAATGTGTGGTTGAACTTGGTGTGTTAGTGTTTTGTTGAAAACTTTTATATTTATATTCATTAGGATATTAGCCTATAGTTTTCATTTCTTGTTGTGTCCTTATCTGTCTTTGATATCTTGGTAATGCTGGCCTTGTAAAATGAGTTTGGGCTTTTTAAAAAAGTACTGAAAGAATTTGAGAAGTATTAGCATTATTCTTTAAATATTCCATAAACTTTGCCTCTGAAACCAACTGGTCCTGGGCTTTTCTTTGTTAAGAGGTGTGATAACAAATTCAATCTCTTTAGTTGTGATTATTTTCTTCAAGCTTTCTGTTTCTTCATGATTCATTCTTGGTAGGTTGTCTGTTTCTAGGCATCTGTTTCTTGTAGTTTACACAATTTTAACATATAATTATTCACAGTAGCTTTCTACATTCCTTGGTATTTCTATGTTATCAGTTTTAGTGTCGACTCTTTAATTGAGTCCTGTTTTTTTTGTTTGTTTGTTTGTTTTTAGTTAGCTTACTTAAAGGTTTGCCATTTTGTTTCTCTGATTTTTTTTAAAGTTACTTTTGAAACAAATAAATGAGTTTATCAAAGTCACAGGTTACACAATTACTAAACAAAAACCAATTGTATACAATAGCTTCAATAGCTATGAACAATCTGATAATGAAGTTAGAAAACCAATGCTATTCACAATAGCATAAAATACTTAGAGGAAAACAATACATAAAATGTAAAACATACACTTAACAAAACATTATTGAAAAAATAATCTAAGCACTGAAGAGATCAGAGATATGCAATTGAAGAAGTTATTTTTTTAAAACAGTTGTTTGCAATGTGGTTTTGAAATAAAATTCCTATGTATACTTACATTTTCTTTTTTTTAAAATCTACAAACTTTGTTCTACATGTTTATGGTCTGTATGTTTTGTTTTGTAAATGGTTGCTGATACCTGGCATATGGAGAAACCAAAGGCTACATATCTGAGCATAGCCATAATGAATCGAAAGTAATTTTTATATTAATTCCTTAGATTTACTTTCTTGTTTACAATAATGGTAGCCTGATTCTCTTTGAGTTTATCACATCTCTCTGAAATATTACCCACTCATTTGTGCATGATAAATTCAATCACCTAAGTTGCTATGCAGTGCTTAAGTAGTTGACAAGAAAAATTTCCTCATTAATCTTAGTTAGCAACTTAGAAAAAAATGGAAATTCAAAGTCTGACGAGAAAGAAAACTTGAGTATCACGGATACGTAATCTTTTCTTATGTTTCTTTTTCCTTCTAGCTAAAACCAGGTGGTGAAATTTGTAGGAAACGATATGATGATGATTGTGATTTCCTTGAGTATTGCAATGGGATTGACCCACATTGTGTGCCTGACACTTTTAAACGTGATGGGGAATATTGTAATGGAAATGAATCCTTCTGTTATAAAGGGCAATGTCGGGTGTTTGATAAACAGTGTAGAGATTTAATTGGAGGAGGTAATGACCATATTTTCTTCTTAGTTCTAAACTCTACCAATTCTGTAGAACAAAAATGTAGATGTAATTTGTTAATAAGTGAAGTCTTGTCTAGTGTATATTATTGTTAAAGGAAATAAAATTTTCTTGATTCTTTAAAACAAACAAAAAACCCTGTGCAACCAGAGACCTGATGCACAAAATTTGTGCAAGACCCTCGCAGCCCCAGCTGCCTCAGCCCTCGCAGCCCCGGCTTCACCCAGAAGGTCCTCTGGACAGTCGTTCCGCTGTTCAGCTGTTTGGTTGATTTTCATATTATGCTTTTATTATTATAGATTCTTATTTGCACATAAAAGAACCCTCAAGTAGAAATGAAGCTTCTCAGAACGGTATATAGAATTTGAGGTGGTGGAGGTTAGTTTAGACTTACATGAAACAAAGGTTTTTACTAGAACAAAGCAGGGCTAGTCACTGGTTGTGTGGATTTCAAGACTGGCTCTGTTCAAAGGGGCTTCCTGAAGAGTGAGGGCTTCAGCTAGTTTAGTCCAATTTGATAGTTTCCTCTAAATGTGAGAATTATTAGCTTCATTGAAATACTATTCATTTTCCTACACATCTGTAGTTTAGATTCTTTGAGAGAGAGAGAGAGAGAGAGAGAAATTTTTTATACTTAGTCCTCCCTCTAGGTCTTCCTTTGCCAGGTCAGAAGAGAAAATTTTAAGTAGTGTCCAGATCAATAGGAATGCCAGGAATTTAAAAGGACAGGACATAGAGGTTTTGGTAATTATTATACTTTTGTTCTTTTCTATAGAATTGTAGTTGTGCCATCTGTCAAGACAGGCTACATTACAGCAATATTTAAAACATAACTGAGATAAAAACAAATTACCATTAAAATCAGGAAAAATAGAAATGTGTACTTCAGATTCAATATTTCCCCAAATAAAAGCAAGAAAATAAATCTCAGTACTGGCCAGATATTTTTAGTGTTAGATAGTGGGATGTCAGCTAGATGTTCCCCAGGTAATTTGTTTACTGTTTTATTTAGTATTAACAGTGATTTTTAAAGCCCTCTTTGGGAAACTATATGTGAATAAGTACAATAATCACCTCCTAAAATAGTATAGCTTTCTGTATGGAGGAAAGTATAACATGTAATGAATCTTGATTTCAAATTAATGTCTGTCCAATCCAAGTGACCACTTGTGTTGATGTGTCTAGAACAAGATAAGTCTGGCTATCAGTCAACTTTTGTAGTTAATTTTGGAAAACAATCCCATTTTTGTAGCTTCATGTAGATCTTGGAGGCCATAGGCAGCTGTTGAAAAGAATTACTGTTTTTAAATCCAAATTAACTAGAATTCTTTGACTAGATCATCCATGGAAGCCTATCATGGACACTAGTGACTAGAATCATCTTAAGGAGGGTTTCATGTAATTCTAAAGTAGGCATTAGCTTTCCAGCATAAAAACCATATATGATTTACAGGCAACAGCCAATAAAAATCTCAGTCCACAGACCTTTTACTTAATTTAGGATTCACCACAAAGGGAACTTATTCTGAATTATTGCTGAATCAATAGGATTTTTTAGAGGAGAGGGGAGTCTAAGACTTCCTGCACTGTAATGTTGCTGGTGTCTTTCTCCCTCTGGAACATCTTTTCCTCCCCAACATTATTGAGATATAATTGACATATAACACTATATAAATTTAAGATTTAGAACACGTTGATTTGATATATTTACACATTGCTAAATGATTACCACCATAGTGTTAGTTAACACCTCCAACTTGTCACATAATTTCCATTTCTTTTTTGTGTTGAGAACTTTGGTATACTCTCTTAGCAATTTTCAAGTATATAATACAGTTTTCTTAGCTATAACTACTATGCTGTACATTATATCCCCAGAACTTGTAAATACTATAACTGGAAGTTTTTACCCTTTGGCCATATCTCCCTATTTCTACTACCCAATGTCTCTGATAATTACTACACTACACTACTCTCTGTTTTCATGAGTTGTTTTTTTTTTTTTTAGATTCCACATATAAGTGATGTTATATATTTGTCTTTCTTTGCCTTATTTCACTTAGCATAATGCCTTCAAGATTTATCTAGGTTATATCAAATGGAAAGAATTCCTTCTATTCATGGCTGAATAATATTCCTACATTCACATATATACACACCGTTCCTTTTACATTTATCTGTTGATAGACACTTACATTGTTTGTATATCTTAGATATTGTGAATAAGGCTGCAATGAATGTGGGAGTGCAGATATTTATTTGAGATCCTGATTTCAATTTCTTTGAATATAGACCCAGAAGTGGGATTGCTGGATCTATTTAGTCCTATTTTTAAGTTTTTGTGGAACCTCCATACTGTGCCCTCTCACAGTCTGGGAGCCCTTGGGGGATGTCTGACTGCCGGCTTAGGCCCGCTCCCCGCCAGCTGTGAGCCTGGCTTCTGGCTGAGAGGCGCTCCCCCTGTGGGAGCACATTGACCACCAGGGGGCAGCTCCTGCGTTGAGCGTCTGCCCCCTGGTGGTCAGTGCATGTCATAGCGACTCATCGTTCCACTGTTCAGTCGATTTGCTTATTAGTCTTACATAGGAATTGCTGATAACTCCTAGAGGCTCAAACTTAGGAGTAGCTGCTTGTAATATTCTTGAGCATTGAGATCAGTGTCACCAAGTGCAGTACACTAGGTTTCCTCATCCATAAACAGAAACATAAACACCTGCCTACCTTCATTGCAGTCCTGCCTTGGTAATAAAATGCGATGAGAAAGCACTATGAGTTATAAAATACAAGGGATTAACAAGCAAGATGAACAAGTATATATAAGTACACATAAATGCCTTTCTTCTAGAGATCATTGCAGCCACATAGGAAACAAAACAAAAGAGAAACAACCCCTCCCCCCAAAAACAACCTCTCCCCAGTTGTTGACCCTACCAAGTGAAAAATGTATCCTCTTGATCCCACTACTTTCTCAAAATCTCCTCCAAGAGCATGCCTAACCACAGCAGGTCACTGCAGTTGCTGATGTTTCCATCAAGGAACTTGCACCATCTGGGTTCTGGGAACCCCAGCTGTAAGAGTGTCAAATTTCTGTTCTAAAATGTCCCAAACTTCTGATCACTGTCTTTCTATATTCATTTGAATTTCGTGGTAACCTCAGTTCAAAGCCTGCCAAATGGAGGCAAGAATAGGAAAGTTGATACCATATATTCTTAAATCTCTCAGGCCCCAGGAGAATTAGGTGACTTAACCACAAAAGATATAATTTTGGGAGAAAAAGAAAATTCTAGCCAGGAGTAAGTCAGCCAGGGCAGTGGGCCTTTGGTGTGAAGAAAACAATGCAGAAATACCTGTTACTCTGAGCCTCAAAAGTTGAGCTGAAAAAGGCCACTGTAGAGGATGTTAGGTTGTTCACAGTGGTGGGTTACTGACATGGCTCCCCATGCAAATTAATAGAACTGTGGATGGATTGGAAGAATTGTTCAAATGGCACAGGCTTTATAAAACAAACAATGACCCATCCCAATCTAACATTTACTGTTTTGTCCATGATGAATTTTTCTTGTAATCAACTTTGATTTTTTTAATATTCTTGATTGATTAAAGTATTACATATGTCTCCTTTTTCCCCCATTGACGTCTACCCTGCCACTCCCACCCCCCAACACATGCCCTCACCTCCCTAGTGTCTATGTCTATTGGTTAGGCTTATATGCATGCATACAAGTCCTTTGGTTGAGCTCTTACCCCCCCCCCCGCCCCCCCCCCCCTCTACACACACACACACACACACGCACACACACTCCCCTTCTCTGAGGTTTGACGGTCTGTTCGATACTTCTCTGTTTCTGGATCTATTTTTGTTCATCAGTTTATGTTGTTCATTATATTCCACAAATGAGTGACATCATGTGATATTTATCTTTCTCCAACTGGCTTATTTCTCTTAGCATAATGCTCTCCAGTTCTATCCATTCTGTTGGGAATGGTAAGAGGTCCTTCTTTTTTACGGCAGGGTAGTATTCCATTGTGTAGATGTACCACAGTTTTATAATCCACTTATTGATGGGCACTTAGGCTGTTTCCAAATATTAGCTATGGTAAATTGTGCTGCTATGAACATAGGGGTGCATATATCCTTTCTGATTGGTGTTTCTGATTTCTTGGGATATATTCCTAGAAGTGGGATTACTGGGTCAAATGGGAGTTCCATTTTATGGGAGTTCCCATTTTTAATTTTTTTGAGGGAACTCCATACTGTTTTCCACAGTGGCTGCACCAGTCTGCATTCCCACCAGCAGTGCAAGAGGGTTCCTTTTTCTCTGCATTCTCACCAGCACTTGTCGTTTGTTGATGTGTTGATGATAGCTATTCTGACAGGTGTGAGGTGATATCTCATTGTCATTTTGATTTGCATGTCTCAGATGATTAGTGACTTTGAGCATGTTTTCATATGTCTCTTGGCTTTCTGAATGTCCTCTTTCAAAAAGTGTCCATTTAGGTCCTTTGTCCATTTTTGGGGTGGATTGTTTATCTTCTTTTGTTAGGTTGTAGGAGTGCCCTATAAATTTTGGAGATTAAACCCCTATTGGAGATAGCATTGGCAAATATGTTCACCCATGCAGTGGGCTTTCCTGTAGTTTTGTCAATGGTTTCCTTTGCTGTGCAGAAGCATTTTATTTTGATGTAGTCCCATTTATATATTCTTTTCTTAGTTTCCATTGTCTTAGGAGCTGTGTCAGTAAAGATATTGCTATGACATATATCTTATATTTTGCTGCCTGTGGATTCCTCTAAGATTTTTATGGTTTTCATTCTTATGTTTAAGTCCTTTATCCATTTTGAGTTTATTTTTGTGTATGGTGTAACTTGGAGGTCTAGATTCATTTATTTTTTTCATGTATCTGTCCAATTTTCCCAACACCATTTATTGAAGAGACTGTCTTGACTCCATTGTATGCTCTTGCTTCCTTTAAAAATATTAATTG